GCTTAAAGCTCTGCACATTTAAGGAGGGTGAGCAGCTGCCCCTTTCAGCCCTCTCACCCCACTCACTGTCTCTGGAGACTCCGCTCACCTGTGTCTTCAGATACAGAATGGTTTTATTGTCTCCCTCTTCCCCTTTCATCTCCATTCACCTTGTATCTTGTTCTTGTTTTCTCATCCACTCTGAATTCTCTTTTGTGTTCGTGTGTTTAGCCCGGTGCTGTCTACTAGAGCCTTCAAAGAGCCCTCAGCAGCAATGCTAATACTCTCTGTCTAGACTGCCCAGGGTGGCAGCTACTAGCACAGGTCACTATGAACACTGCTCATGATGCTAATTTGCCTGAGGTCTGAATTTAAATTTAAATATCAATGGGTACAAATGTCTAGTGACTACCACATGGAACAATGCAAGTTTAGATTATCTACGTTTCATGTGCTTATTAGTGCATTTGGATTTTTGATTTCATTATCAATGTAAAACAATGACATAGTTAAGATTTTAATGTAATACGTTTAATATAGATCATAAATACTACGTTTTTACCTGTTTTCTGTTTGTTAATTTTATATTCATTCCTGTCTTTTCCTTTCTCTTTGCTTTTTATAATTAATCTGTGTTTTTTTGTGATTCCATTTTATATGCCTTCTTCTAGGGTGAGAAATATGTTTGGCAGGCCAGCAAAGTGGCTGTGCAGGTAAGGACGCTTGCTGTCAAGTCTGATGATTTGAGGCTCGATGCTCACGTTCACTCAGAAAGAACTGACTCCTGCAAGTTGCCCTTTGACCTCCACACGTGCACCATGCCTGATGTGAGCTCCCAAAACTACACGGAATAGATACACAAATGGAAAGAAGAGTTTGCTTCTGGGTAATACGTCACTTCAAGATGATAAACAACTTTGCACCCAAACTTCCATCTCCTTGCTGCTATTGTCTGTTGCACAGTCTCATCCACACATTTATAAGTCACACAGACAAATGTCCTTATTTTTGTGACAAATGTTCAATTGTTGATGAAACTTAAAACAAAAATCCAATCTCAATGTTTTGCATATACTTAAAAAGCTCTGGTGTCTTCACTTCTTGTACAAGTGGAAGCTGGTCCATTGTTGGGGGCGGGTTATAGTAGAAGCGTGCTCATCTTAAAGCTCTGGTGTCTTCACTTCTTGTACAAGTGGAAGCTGGTCCATTGTTGAGGGCGGGTTATAGTAGAAGCACGCTCATCTTGATGAATGGGAACTGCTCACATCTGATGGAAGGACACAGAGTAGAAGAAACAGGAACGGGCCGGGGTAGGACACAGCCCCTGAATTTGAGCAGACTATTGGAAATGATGGAACTGTGGACAGTGAGTTTGGCAGGAGAAAGCGGGTCACAAACAGAAGGTCTTAAAGGCTACCTGTTGCCTTGGTCTCTTCATCCTGCTGCTAGTGTCTGCTGTCTGTCCACCATGGTGTGAGCTGACCCACCATCTCCTCCCTGTCACGGCAGACTGATGCCTCTGAAACTGCGAGAAAAACAACCTTTTTCTGTTTGACAGAGGTGTTTGTCACTGTGATGACTGTCTGGCTAGCACAACCCAGCATTCCCTCTCTCAGACAATAAATACTTGCTAAAGACAATGAAAAAAAGGAAATGGCTCTGCCAGGCAGGATGAACAAGCCACCTCTTTGCAAGTGGTGTGCTCAGACACAGCCAGACTTGGTATACTTTTCCCTTGCTACCAGTTTTTGACTTTTTGGCACCCTCTGCTTGCTCTATCTTATGATACTTTGTACAAATACACTTAAGGCAGAGGTTCTTGACAGATATTTGCACCTCAAACATGGAGGAAAGTGACTCAAAACCTAGCCCAGAGTTAAGAGAGCAATTACCAGAACTTCCCTCAACAGCAGATGACCAGGTTGGTAATGGCTGCTCTTCTGTGTCACATAGAATGGCCTTTGGAAGATAGCCAGTCATCTCTTTAAAAGGTTTTTAAAGATTTGCTTATTTTATTTTATGAGTATGGGTATTTTGCCTGTATGTATGTGTGTGTGTGCCACATGCATGCCCAGTGCCTGTGAAGAAGAACCAGATCCCCTGGAACTGGAGATATGGATGGTTGTGAGTCGCCACAGGGGTGCTGGGAATTGAGCCCAGATCCTTGGTAAAAGCAGCAAGTGTTCCTAATTATTGAATGATCTCTCTACCCCCAGCCCTATCATCTCATGGCATCCTTCCCTTGCCCAGATGGAGGCAGAATCACAAAGGAGCCCAGGCCCTGTTGATAAAGAGATCCCATTGCTGTCCAACCCTTGGGATCCTTGTGTGGGTTTACATTCCCTGAGCTTGTTCCTCGGTCATAAATCTGTAAGGCACAGGGGTTATATTTTATGTTGCAAGGCTCAGACTTTATGGGGCATATCCATTTCCTTGGTCAACGAACATTTTCTAAATCAATAAATAAAACAAAAATCACGAGGGGATGAAGGCTTCTCTGGGGCTGTTGAGGTTTTTGGTCTGCAGTGACTGTGCCTGGACGCATGTGCACAGGACACAATTGGGCCAGCTCTGCTTCAATTCTAGATTAAGCATCTGGCAGGGCTGAGTTAGCCAGACAGGCATTTTTGCCACCCCCACACCCCATGTTTTTTTAAAGTTGTTTGTAAGAATTGGCTGTATTAATTAAACAGCTTTCTTACGGGCAGGTTTATGTTTTCTGGAGCCTGGGATTCTTCAGGCAGCATTTTTACTTGCCAAGAATAAACTACAGGCCAGAGACGAAAATGCCTTTTCATTTTATCACCAAACTTGGAGAACCAGTCCTTACCCCTCCTCCATTTATATCTGGTCTTAAGACTAAGAAATTGGGAAGAAACTTGAGCTGGTTTCAGGACACGACAAGGATTCATTCTATATTTTGAGAACATAATGAGAGGTCCAGGAAAGTAATGGAAGACTAGAGCCTGGTGAGACACAGACACCCCTTCTCCTAAGTCAGTAAGTGGGCTTCAAATGACTCCTCAACCCTAAACTCATGGACCTTCTCCCCAGTGAAAGGACAAATGACAGACACCGTGTGTCAGGACCGGACAGGATCCCACCAGGACATTAGTAGTTACATTGTCACATAGTTCTGAAGTACCTGAAAGGACAAATGACAGACACCATGTGTCAGGACCAGGCAGGATCCCACCAGGACACTGGTAGTTACATGTTCACATACCAGATTCAACCAGACCATGTGGACACTCCATCAAAGTTTACTACTCAAAAAATGTTCATTTTATGTTAAAATGGCATTTAGCATTTTGCTAGAGAATGAACGTTGCTGTGTCTTTCTTTATATTTCTTTAGACTTTCCCTGTCACCTTTAATTGTCTATGAAGAGTATATTCGTTATGGATTTATAAAATTCCACATTATGGCTATATTGTAACTTACTTGGCCATTTTCCTGCTCTTGGGTGTTTATGTTGTTTTTACTTTGTGCATTGTTAAAAACAGAAACATTGAGTATCTTTGTACAAAAGACTCAGGCTGTATTTTGTTTTACGTGCTTTTAAAAAGACACATTTCAGGAGATGGAGAGCTAATATCATTAGCTCTTCTGGGATCTTGAGAAGTAACACTCAAAGTGTGGGGACACAGTGCCCAGGCAGCATTTTTCTAAAGCTTTATTTTTATTGATAGGCATATGAGTGTCTCTGTATGACTGCCTCAGAGGGCAGAGACTGGGTCCCCTGGAGCTGGAGTAACAGATGATTGTGAACCTCCTGGCATGGGTACTGGGGACAGAACACAGGTCCTCTGCAAGAGCAGCAAGTGTTCTCAACTTCTGAATCATCTCTTCAGCTCCAAATCAGCATGTTAATTTACTAAGAGAAAAAAATTATCCAATTTCTAAAGTGGCTCACCAGAATGTGGTCATCTGAAGTGTCAGCTTAAAGTCATCAACCAGATTTCACCTTGAAAACATCTCAAAGGGACAAGTTTCGCCCCAGATACAGAAGGGATCCATTCACTCTTGGAATGTCTGTTTTACCAAAATACTTCTTAGCTTGCTAAGCTACATCACACAAGAAGACCCTGTGAGAGCATGACAGAGTAGAGCTGCAGACATCCAGGCCTCAGCAAGTCTCCCCAAGCCCATGGTCCCCCAGGACATCTGGGTAGCAGTCATGCAGCTTTGGCTTTTGCTTGCAGTCTTAAACACACTGAGGTCCATAGTTCAGGTTGTTGTGATGGAGAAAATAATGCATGCAGTTTATGTTGCACTAACCCAAGGTTATCACTGGCTATGCAGGACTGTGACTTCCTCTCTGGCTCAGCCATCCAGAGAAATCAGAGGGCTCCATCAGTAAGGAACTTGCTAGCTTCCCCGGCATAAATTTGTTCTCCCGGCCTTGAAATTCCTCCATCTTTATGTCATTTCCTTGCTAATGAAGACAAAAGATAAATAAATACACTCGAAGAAAGGAAGAAAGACAAGCAGAGAAGATGACATCCGTGCCCTTGGCAAGAGCTCTTGATTACAGTCACGAAAGCCTGGGCTGGTGTCACACACACACACACACACACACCAGTTGTGGGTGCTTCTGTTTTCAGGACAATGTGGCTGAGAAAGCCTGGCAGCCCCAGTTAGCCCAGCCTTGCTCTCTGTAAGCTGGGAGGCTGAACAACTCCCCATGTCTATGAAGCTCCCGAGTCTCACCGGTAAACTGGAGCACCGTTCTTAAAGACTTTTTTCTGTGACGTTCGACTACAACAATGCACATGAGTGGTCTTTAAAACAACACAAATAGAGAGCGACAAAGCAAGACCCAAATTGATCTTCATGTTATCAACAACGTGCCCTGGAAAGACGGGGCTGCAGGCTACACAAGGATGTAGGGTGGAGGTTCCCTTATCAGGCTCCCAGACAGTGAATGTGGGAGACTAGGAGTCTGGCCTGCATTGACTGAGGCAGGATAAGTGTGCAGCCTGTCTCTAAGCAGGATACACTGGTGTGGGTGCTTGACCATGGGTGAGTGAGGCTCTAGAGTGGCCAGAGCAAGTGTTGAGACACCCAAAACATTATCCCCGGAATCAGCCTCCCTCAGAAAGAATGCCTCAAAGCTAGCATGCTCCCTATGCCCCTTGTTGATGATCTTTGACTCCTACAGGTCTCTTCGTTAACACACCCAAGTTTCAAACCTTGGTCCAGAGACATATAATGGATTCAAATATGATGCCAGTTTAATAGCATGTGAGTGAGTGAGTGAGTGAGTGAGTGAGTGAGTGAGTGAGTGAGTGAGTGAGTGAGTGAGTGAGTGAGTGAGTGAGTGAGTGAGTGAGTGAGTGAGTGAGTGAGTGAGTGAGTGAGTGAGTGAGTGAGTGAGTGAGTGAGTGAGTGAGTGAGTGAGTGTGTATTTAAGTGAGTGTATGTGTGTGGGTGAGTGAGTGTGTGTCTCGTATATATGTGAGTGTGTGACTATGTATGTGTGTGAAGATAAGGGACTGTGAGTGTGTGCACCATACACATGTGTGGTCCTGTGTGTGTATTTGTGAGTGTGCCAATGTAGCTGATAAGAAGAGGGTACAACTGTTTGTCTAAAAGTACAAAACAATCAGCTAAAAAAAAGTTACAATTGATAGATAGCCAAGAGTTGTATGGTCTTAATATGCAAAAACTCAACTGTTTTCTTTTCTTTGAAAAATGAGCAATTGCAGGACAACACAGAAGGAGACTCTGAATAGCAATAACAGTAACTGCTGACCAGCAAGGGATAAATCTGATAAAGTAACTGCAGGGTCTGTGAGGCGAGGGCTTTATTCCGCTAAGAGATGAGGGATATTTTCTGTGAGTAAACGAGATAACATAGCTTATTCTTGGAAGGGGAGACTCGGTTGTAGAAAGAAATAAATTACCCTAGATTGGGCTATCTATTCCATGAAGGATTAAGTAAGAGAGCAATGTGATACTTCGGAATTTCTCAGCGTGGTACTAAATCACACGTGGGAAAGAAAGTGTCTGAGGACAATCAAGAGGATTATGAAAAAATAGAACTAATGATGATGATGCTTCCCAGATATCACAATGCTGAGTTATTCCAGAAAGGTCACCTCGCACTGGAACGTGCACAGACAGGATCAGCGAGCTGCACATGCAAGCCAGAAACAGACTTCGGTGCCTGCAGGACCTGGTAGGTTCTGGACAGTGATGCAGAGAACGTGCTGAGACAGGGCAAGTACTGGGAAAGCAAGCTGAGGAGCCAGAGGGCCTCATCCAGCGGGATGCCATTGTGCAGAGAGAGCAGCTGGGGATTTGGGGGAGGATGGATAAGCATTTGATGACAAGGATCAAATGTTTGCAAGGAGGAGGGAGCAATGAGGGGGGTGTTTCTGAGCTTTGAGGGAAAATGGCTCCAGTGTTTTGAAAACAAAAAGACAAATATCTTTGTATACATGACCGAAACAAATGCAAAAACAAAAGAAAAAAAGATCGATAGTTCAAAATCCCAGAAGCACCGGAATAGATCAATACACTGTCACACAGGGGGGAATGGCTTCATAGATTGGATCAGAAAAAGGCCTATGTACATGCATGAAAATGTTATGATGAAAGCCATTACAATGTATAATTAATATATACTAACAAAACATTTAAAATTTGTATTATAAATGGTATTAATCAAAGATGCATTAAATTGTAAAATGGCTCTTAAGCAAGTTCCTTTTTTTCCTTCTTCACAAAGGAAAACAAATTGATTTCAGAAAGACTTGTAGAAAATTAAGGAAGAAACAGTGATAATAAACACTAGCAGGTGTTTCAACTTTTCCCAGTCTGGGTAACCCCATTACTCTAGCTGCCTGAACTCAGAGTCCTTCACCTGGTTCACCTGTATTGTTAGGCTTTAGTGACTCTGTCATTATTTATTCATTTGAAATTATTATGGTATCTATGATTGGACACAACACAATTGTTGCCGGAACTGCTTAGTCCTGGCTCTGCATTTGTTTACTCTGTTTGCCAATAGTAAATATTCCATGGCTTGAATTTCTTATTTAGATTCATTGTCTGGCTAGCTGCCATTTATAGCAGTGGCTGGGGGTTTCAGAAGCTCCCAGTTCCTTTGTGTTTAAGGCTGTGGGTGGGTTGCCTTCAGAGAGAAATGTGTCTGCATGGAGAGAATTGAATTGTGTGCCATTTTTTCCTTTGCCTTGAGAATTCTGGTGACCCTCACCATGAGAATGTTGGGGTGGGGAAAGGGAAACCTTCATGGTCACCTCACTTGATAGCAATTCTTGGCTTGAGGTACGTATGCATTTTCCATCTATTATCTCATGTGGGATGTCCTTCTATATACTGTGAATATGTGCTTCTTTTATTGGTGGATGGATAAAGCTGCTTTGGCCTATGATAGGGTAGAGTATAGCTAGGCAGGAAACCCAAACAGGGATAGAGGGAAAAAGAAGGTGGAGTCAGGGAGATGCCATGTAGCTGCTGAAGGGGTAAGATGCCAGAACATTACTAGTAAGCCACAGCCACTGGTGATACACAGATTATTGAAAATGGGTTAATTTATAAAAGAGAGATAGCCAGTAATAAACCTGAGCCATTGGCCAGAGGCATATTATAATGTCTCTGTGTGATTATTTCATGAGCAGCTGTGGGGACCCTCGAGCAAGAGAGAAAGTGGTCCAGAGGGACTAGCAGGACAGAGAAAAACATTCAACTATAATCATCCTTATTATCTTTATTCTGAAATTCAATGACCTCATCAGGATATGCCAGTGACCTCTCTGCATCTTCTCCTGGACACAGGCATTGGTTTTACATGCACATTCCACAGTACCTTAATTTTGGGGTATGCTTTAATTATATTGTTAGCTTTCTGAAACATTTTAGTGTCCGTCCTGTTCTCTGACTCCCTATTCAAATCCACAAGCCTGCCTAGCATGGTCTTGACAGTTCATTTGGGAGATTTTTCTCTTTTGTATCCTCCCTTTGTTTGACTTGTGGAGATGATTCGCAATGACTTCTGCAATTTGAAGGAAGTACGCACACAAAAAATGCACGTGCACAAGGGGCCTAAGGGAAGAGGAATGTCACACAGTGCGCATGTGAGTGTTAGTCCAACACCTCCCCATCTGCAAAAAGAACCTATGGCATCTTAGCAGAGCACAAAAAGCCTCCTTTTTGAGCCCTGTAAAGTTATTCTTCACCTGTAAGTTTGTCAAAGTCATTATCAAAAGTGCAATGGGGACTTCTGGGGTAAAGTGACAGATTAGAAGCTAGCTCCATGTGCCCCTGTGAATGAGCAGGGTCAAGGCCGTAGGCTGTGTTGAGAGCATACATTTGCACCATCGGCCTGGTTTATGTGTTCCTGGGAATGGAACACAGGGCTCCATGCGATGCAATTTGAAGGAAGTACGCACACAAAAAATGCACGTGCACAAGGGGCCTAAGGGAAGAGGAATGTCACACAGTGCGCATGTGAGCGTTAGTCCGACACCTCCCCGTCTGCAAAAAGAACCTATGGCATCTTAGCAGAGCACAAAAAGCCTCCTTTTTGAGCCCTGTAAAGTTATTCTTCACCTGTAAGTTTGTCAAAGTCATTATCAAAAGTGCAATGGGGACTTCTGGGGTAAAGTGACAGATTAGAAGCTAGCTCCATGTGCCCCTGTGAATGAGCAGGGTCAAGGCCGTAGGCTGTGTTGAGAGCATACGTTTGCACCATCGGCCTGGTTTACGTGTTCCTGGGAATGGAACACAGGGCTCCATGCGATGTCAGGCAGGTTCCCTAGTGACTGAGCTGCATCTGCAGCCCCAGATGCTTTTTCTCAAGAAGTGATGAGCCCTGGTGGGACAGCACAACGAAGCAGAAAGCTGTGGAAGTGATAACAGCCATGGCTTCCCAGCTCCAACCCCTAGGGTGAGGAGAGGCCGAAGCCTTCTCCAGAGGTGAGCCAGGCATCCTGGTGTAAACAGACTCAAAGTCCTGGCCTCAAGACAAATCACATTCTCATAAACCCTAAATCCAGCCAGGGGTTGTTGTGACTCTCTCTGCATGGAGGCAAGCACTGGAGAAACACAATATCCGTTTTGCAATTTCCCATATCCTGGTGGTATTTAGCCAGGCATCATCTAGAAAGGAACTCTGTTGTTGGAGACTGAGCTATTCTGGGGACTTAAAATCAAGGAGCAATTATGTCAAAGAGCCTGAGGACACCATATCTCATTGCCTGGGTTGGAGGTGTAGTAAAAGACATTCAAGGAGAGGGGGCACCCTGGGTACAGACATATTGATAAGTTAGGAAACAGGTGCCAGGGGTGTGTAGGATGTGGTGGATAGTGACCCTGTGTCTACATGAGTCACTGAGGGCAGCATCAGATGCCAATTGCTGTGAGTCCAAGGCCTGCTGACTGCTTGGCTTCTAGCTTTGCTGCCTGCCA